ACCCCTTCTGAGCATTACAATTACAAATTAAGCTGCAATGCATTACTCAGGAATTTCAATAACATGACATCAGATCTAGAGTTTGTGACTCTGTATCACTAAGTTTTTCATTGTAGCGCGATGCGCTACTGTGCCGCGCCGAGCTGCGATGAATTGACATCGTCAATTAAAATTTTTCAGTACACTGTTCATTTTATTTTTCACCCTTTTTCGACTTTACCATTTTTGTCGGTACGACGTAGTTTATGTCGATATGATCCTTCAGCCGTTTCAACAGACGGCGCACGTTATAGGGGGGGGGGAGGGGGGCCAACGCCCCAAAAAGCCCCGGTTTCTAGGGCCCTTTTTGGATTTTCGATGCGTCTAGGGCCTTTTGGGGCCCTAGAAGTAGAATTAACTTCAATTTCATCAAGTTTGATATATGCTAAGTGCTTTAATAATATCATCTGACTACTTGCACAGTACTTTTATGTTTATTTGAGTGTATTTACATGGAGATTATGGTCCATAAACACTATCAAATAGTGGTCAGGGTCAAAAGGTCCCAAAAGGCTCCAAAAAGCCCCGATTTCTAGGGCCCTTTTTGGATTTTCCATATGTGTAGGGCCTTTTGGGGCCCTAGAATTAACTTAAATTTCATCAAGTTTGATATATGCTAAGTGCAATTTAATGATATTATCTGACTACTTGCACAGTACTTTTATGTTTATTTGAGTGTATTTACATGGAGATTATGGTCCATAAACACTATCAATTAGTGGTCAGGGTCAAAAGGCCCCAAAAGGCCCCAAAAAGCCCCGATTTCTAGGGCCCTTTTCGGATTTTCGATGCGTCTAGGGCCTTTTAGGGCGTTGCCCCCCCCCCCCCCCCCCCGTTATATCTCCGCCAAAAGCACATCCAATTTGATACGTAATCGTATGAAATATGTCTATAACTTCCTTGATTATGCACTAAGTTGGCGTTCCTCGACCAAAATTTAACGGGGAATCGTTCAAGATCACTTTCGAGGCACCTTGGCAAAAGCTTGACATACGTTGCATGCCACTTTTCGCGCGCTGATATTTGGATACGAAACATGTATCAAGCAAAAGCTTCTTACGCTATTATGCTTTTTAATTTTATGCAGAAATACGTCAGTAGCGTTTTTGAGCTTGTTATTCTCTTTTAAAAGCATTCCAAGTGATTTGTATAAGTGCATATATTAATTCTGAATACATTGCAAAATAATTTATCTCGATTCATGAATTGTTTGAAAGAAGTTACAGCAATGCGCGCAATTTGATTTTGGGGAGTGTGCTTTTGGCGGAGATATAAACTGCACCTTCAACACTTCAACAGACCATGCATTGGGATGGATCTTGATTGAAGATGTCAATCCATCGAGATCGTTGCTCTGCTTCGCAGAGCAACGATCGACGACGATGCGAAGCAAGAATGCTAGTTTGCGCGGCGCCTTCGGCGAAAAGTGGCATGCAACGTATGTCAACGTCGAAGCGGCGAAGTCCTCCAAGGATGGATCGATTAAAAATGTAATGTCCAAGAGGAGCTCTAACCCCTTATAACTTTAAGTGCAATAGGACTTTGGTACGGTTTTGTGCAGTAGGATCACGGTGATGTCATATATTAATTAAAAACAATGTAAACTTAATAATATTCTTGATACTCATATTTGCTCTACTGTCTACTGAAATTTTGTGTTTTGGTCTGCTTTAAAATTAGTCGCCGAAAAATTTTGTCTCATGAAATTTGGTTTATAACAATTTTAGTCAAAAGTTTGACTAAATTTATGGTAGACTAAATTTGTCGTTCTTAATATATAAGGTATACCTACCGTTCACATAGCCATGTGTATAACTATACGCGTACTGCGTGACGCGTTTGTTTTACGCGCGCTACTGCAAGCGAAGGGGCTCTGGTTAGAGCAAGGTATACCGCATTAACTTTAAGGGCCATATAATATGCACGTATTGTGTCGTATTGTGATTTAAAACAGCTCGATATGTACTTACATCACCCACCAAATGCGATATGAACAACTCCAGGTAGGCGGTAGGCCGGTTTAGATTAGCACAATTAATGGTACAGATTATCTTAGCACTTAGACTAACCCCACTTAACTGATTCATCATTGGAATCAATAAAATTATAGTAGTAGTACAGCAGGCTATCGGTTCGATCTAGACTGTGTCATTGGTGCAGTTTCTCTGAAAATCGATAAGGCTGTATTGTAAATGTAATTAGTTACGAAACTCTAATATTGAATATCGTATGGTTAACGTTTTTCAGTTTCAGACCTTTCCACTCTGACTCAGTAATTCCTGGTTGCTAAAATCTGCCGAGATATTGGTGATTTAAGCATTAAGTATTCTTGAAAAGAAAAATTCACTAAGTTTTTTAATAGCATTTTTCTCCGCGTTTCATGCAATTTGATCACTTGTGTCAGTGTGTTTTGGCGAAAAAAAAGTCCCGAAAAAAAATGTAAGTGAAAAATTTTCAAAGTTGTTTATAAAATTATTTTTCTCCGTGTTTTAACTTTATTTAAGCTATTCCGATTATTTTGGGCCAGTAAAAAATATTTGCTAATTAGCTAATTGATAATTATCTAATTAACTGATTAATTAATAAAATGAACACCCTCGATTAATCTGCAAACTTTTACGATGTTCAAAACTAAAGATATTCGACAAACAAGAAAGGTGGTAAAAAGTGGTGAAAGTGGCAAAAAGTGGCCTTAATGCTTAAGACACGTGGAAAATTTGGTCAGCCATAGAGGGCACCTAATGGGACTCAAAAACGTCAAAAATCCTTAAAAAGCTTTGTGTGTCGGCAGATCGATTTTTTCAAACGGATCTGTCTGTACTAATAAGGATTAAAAAAGCAATAAGCTAAACTTAAGGCAGTGGCAAGCTGAACACGTAAAAAGACATTAAGCGAACAAAGAATAACATGGAATGTGAAATCGAATTCCTAGTTCGATCTAATAGTAATTCCTAGATCGAACCGGTTCGATCTAATTTCTGCGTTCGATCTAATTACATTTTGGTTACACTTAAAGTTAGGGATGCCAACCGATATTATCGGCCTATAATTATCGGCGATAATTTGCCAAAAATCGTTATCGATTATCGCGATAATCAACCAATTTTTATTAATATTAGGGGAAAATAGCCTAAATTCAACATATTTTATAATCTGTTTCTTTGTAAAACCCGACTGCTACCATAATTTGCAGTGTGATGGTATTCTGATGTGCTATTTAGTGTGTAGTGTTTATGAATTTGCGGCAGTGAAAATTGAAAAGTCGTGTTATATTATCGCATCTAGTTAGTTATGAGTTAAGTAGGTAGCTTGGAGGTTGTATGATCAGACGGTTATTCTGGTTTGTTGAAGCATGGAAAGAAACTTATACTGCAACGAGACTGCAAAACCTGTTCGAGCTTGCTGTGTAGTGTGTAGTATGTTGAAGAGATATGACCGGTCACCGGATAACTGATGCAGTGAACGAAGTTTTGAATGATTTGGAGCTAGGTAATCTAAAACTGAATACAGGAGAGACTGAGTTAGTTAAAGACACTATCAAGACTGTGTTAAAGAGACAACAATCTCCCTTAAGCAGAAGTGAATATTCAGTTAATTGATAGCAAGCTGGAAGAGTCAAGAGATAGACTCGCCACTTTCTCGAACCCTTCTTGATAGGCTACGTACACGATATGTCGAGAGAAAGAACCTTAACTTCGTATCGCTGGTAACGTTCTACTCGGACCCCGGTATTCTAGATGCAGATTTATATCAAGAATACAGAATGATCACGAAGTAAACCTTGATACGTAATTCTAATTCTCTGCAGAGAAACAATAGGCCTTAGAGAACATTAATGGTCGATGGGCTTTTTATTATAGGGCAATGCCAATATTGCAATTGATTCTTTAACAAAGCATTAAGCAATAAAGCACACGATAATGCTATCAAAGTTTTCTATAGCTATTTTTATCTTTGAAGTTCGAATTTTACCGATATTAATTTTATTAAGGATTTGTCATGACTCAATGTTTCTGCATTTTTGAAAATTAAATTCAATTAATGATATTGTTAAACTATATAATGATAATGTAACAAGGTTACATAGCATAGGAGCATAATTCAAGTATGCAGAGTGCAGACAAATATTACTTTTATTATCTTGCCAAATTTATCGCCGATAACCGATATTATCGCGATAATTTTGAAAAAGTTATCGATTATCGCGATAAAAATAAAAGAAATTGTACCGATAATGGCAACCCTAAAGTAAATGTCCTTCATAAATTGCATTTGAAGGTCGCAAATCTTTGAATGATGCAGATAAATGTATGTAATACTATATTTAATAGGCGGTACAGAGTTAACAAGGGTTAATTTCTAAGACGATTTAAATAAAAATGGAAAACGGTTCAAGACGGCCGGAGTGTAATGAGGTGTAATACTAATAGTCAGTGTACGGACCTTATGATCATGGAATGTGGTGCCTAATAATGACTTAATTATCCACGAGAAAGAACTGATTATGCGAACATGTTAAATACTATAATTACTATTGGATACGTGAGGGCACTCCGAATAGAATTGCTCACCTAATGCGGGTTTTGAATCAGCGGGTAAATACTTCAACCCTTTTTAACTGCGGCAGTGAAATCCCGGCCGAAGGCCGGGTTATACAAGTGTCTAAATAAGCTCAAAACTGTCTCGTCAACAACATCAGTACAGTATGGTAGATGTCCTTACTGCAATAGTGGCTTAACTTATTAATATTTTCTTAAAAGTCGTAAAATTTGAAGAACTAGTAGCGAGCCCACAAAGTAAAGTTTTATTGGGGTTCCAGCGAGTCAGAATTAAGCTAATTAGTAGTTGGTAGTGGACCTGAATACTGGAAAATCTGTTTTGTAAACCATTTTTCAATGGTATCGCACAATTTGGTACGAAAGTCGGTGGGGTATGGTGGAAAAATCAATAAAAAGCAAAGGAAACACTAATACTGAAGCTGTAAGTTTAAATGTTCTGATCGCTATTGCATATTGACTATTATAATTTCTACATTATGTACATATCAGATTTCACAAAAAAGGACTCATTTTTGGAAGACATGGAAAACCTTTCAATTTCATTCCCTGTCATTAAAGTGAAAAATCTAATCCACTTCCCATTGCGAACATTTTATTAATACAGTAATAGTTTCATAAACGGTTTATGCAGATGACTGTAGTCACTCAACGGGGAAAAGAAAATCAGTTAAGTATTCCAGAATCCAGATACATATAATTATAAAGTTAAACTATAAAATGAGGGAATCAATATTCAAAAATCATCGTTTTCCTTGAAACGCAAAAACCAAAATCAAGCTTAGATATACACTGTACATAATTTTACATTATACAACAACAAATATACAGCTACTCCTTATTACATTTAAAATTAGAGAATTTTGTGCTACTTTCAAAAATTCAACATTAATTTTCCAACCGTGGTGATGAATTTTGAAACGAGAAACAAACACCAGTAGACAAACCATCAACTAATCTAACCACTAAACTGCTGGGTTTCAATGTAACAGTATTGTTCCCGGTTTAAATAAAATCATTTTTTCTGATAAATTAATCATCTGCAGAAAAGTCAGAGCTTCTCCGCAAGCAATCCTGGACCTCATTTTCCACTACTCCCCATGAAGGGTGGTTTTCTGTTTCACCTCAACTTCCACTGTCTACCTGCTCCTTGTTCCTGTGAAAGGATGAGGTTAAAATAAAATGGTATAATCGGAAAAACGTAAGTAAAAGTGTACGTGGTGTGACGTAGCGTAAGATGTTGGGATCAAGGACTTTATACCTTAAACCTTTCGAATTCGATAACTACTTTTAGACACACACACTAAGTTAAGTTTCACAAACAATCGAGAAATCTTAAAGTTAACGCCAAAGATTGTGCTGCTCAGTTACTATCAAAACTGAGAACCGTGAATTTTACCAGACCAAACTGAATGTTTTACACTGAATCCATTGCGGCTCTTATTTGATAGCAAATTTATTTTTTCAAAGACGCGAGTTGATCGGAGTCAATATTATATTATTAAATATTATATTAGTTAACATTCTATTGGTCAGGAAATAGTCCTACACAAGCAATTTTGATTTTTGTTAGAATTAAGAACAGAACTAAAACCGTACACTTTAAAGAGGTCTAATTAATTCGAGTATTTGATGATGTACGGTTTTAGTAAAACCGTACATCCAACATCATCAAATACTCGAATTAATTAGACCTCTTTGAAGTGTACATAACATTATTTAAAAATATTTGCTGTTGCCTGAACTAAATTCAGTTGTTGGTGGTGATTCATCATTTGTGTCAGTACTTTTGGGTTTACTTTTTAGGTTTCCTCACCGTTATCATAACGCGTTAATAAAAGTATAGTTGAAACTCTACAATATGTAGTTATATATCAGTTCTGAAGAGTATTTCTCCGGTACGGCTTTTTAATATTTACCTTTGAGATTGTTTCTCAGAGAAAGTATTGAGAGACAGAGTTCCGCCCTTGTTCAGCCGCTCCAGTAACAGTGCAATGTGCTTCTTTAACTTAGTCGTGTCCGAGGGTAGCTTCAATGACGCTGCCACAACTGGGAGTAACAGGTCATTAACAGATCATTAAAAATAAATTCAATGATAATTTTATAATTTATCATATTTATCATATGTATACGCGCTTCCGTAGCGTATGATAGAAGAGTGTTTTATCTTAATACTCATAGTGATGTTATTATATTTACATAAATTATTATTAATATTATTATTTATAATTTTTAAAATATTATTTTTTAGCTGAGTGAACAGCTAAATATAACTATTCTTACAGTTTTCCTCTTTTATTTACCTGACTGTTCCTTGGTTGTTTTAGCAAGGCACGTTCTCAGCAACATCGTGATACTCGCATCAACCATTTCCTCCCATCCCTGCAGTTCAACTTATTGATTAATTAATTAATTAATTAATTGCGATTTATCTAAAATATTCAGTCCATTTAACTGGAGCACTTAAACGACTTGCTAACTGCCATTGAGATCTTTATTATACATATTATAAATATAAACATCCCATGGAAGTTTTCACATTCTTTTACAATCTTAGTCATTTCTCCTTCACACCCTTGCCAGGGCCTTGTATAGTCACCAAGAATAAAACAAAGTAAACACTATACTAAGTACTGTGTTTTTTATAAAGAGTACTGACCACATCATCCGCACTATTCACATCTGGAGTGAGACAGGACTGCAGCACAGCAGACTGCTTATCATCCAGCGCAGGACACCACAGCTTCACCAGCAGCAGCAGCAGTTTGGTGGCTGTGCTCAGAGCGTGGTCCGCTTCTTCTAGTGCTTTCGTGGTCTGTAGATCCACATCTGCTAGCGCTAATATCTGGTGTTAGGGTGTTAGGGTGTTAGAGGATGTCAGAGTGTCGGTGTATGTTGCTAGTTTGAAGTTAGAGCATTAACCGTTCTGTGAACACTGCTCATGCAGCTGCTACTCCAATAGTTAATACTCATATCTTGACCTTGAGAGTCACCTTTATCTAAAACATACTACTACTTACTTGCTTGATATGTAATAATATACTACTACTTACCTACTTGATATATAATAATATACATTATAAACCTGCTGATAGGTGCCCTCCAGCAAAGTGTCCATGTTTTGCAGGGGAGAGGGAGTCTTGTCCTTGAAGCGAGTGAGCAGTCTGCGCTGTATGGCGCGGAACTGTTGCGCGCGCTGCGACAACATCTCCCGGTAACTGCGCTGTCTGACACGCAGCTCGAACCGCGAGTCTATGATGTCGAAATACTCTTGTAGCGGGACGGGACCCGGGAAGGTAATGGAGAGTGGTTGTGGACCCCCCTGTGGAGACGGTGGGGTAATATTGGAAATAAAGTGTTTTTATAATCCATTACCGGCACAGAATACATAATGCGGGTGTGATCATCAGGCTCTTGAAATGCAACTTTCAATAAAAAAGTGAGGTTGAGAAAGAAAGGTAGGTGTTGCAGAACAAGCACGGAGTAAAAGGTTTGAAGAGCAGTGCTAAATAATATGTAAATATTAAGAAGGAAGGTCTCCTGAGGAACTGGCGTTGAGTCAATGGTTTGACAAATATTCTTAATTATTTTGATTAGCTTTTTGAACTTACGATCTTTTCAAAGTGACGCCGAAGTTTGGTCAGGAACTGTTTTATAACAATGTAGAGAGCTAAGAAACTGTTAGACTGGATCCTGTACTTCTCTGAAAAACAATGTAGAGAGCTAAGAATCTGTTAGACTGAATCCTGTACTTCTCTGAAAATTAATACTGACAAATAATTCAAATTCAACTGTTAGTGTTGTGATCTCTGTTAAAAACACACACACACCATGCACTTTAATGTCATTATGGTGCTATCACAAGAATCTATTTCAAGTACGAACATTCGATAATGTTCAAGTACATGAACATTATCCCAAACATTAAAATATAGGTTTACTGATCGAGTGATCGTTATATAACTCTCATATATTATTATGTAGGGTCTACTACTATATAAGTATTTAACAAGCGTAATAGCGGAGTTGATTATACTTAATCTCATCATGTTGGTGTATAAATATGGACACGAAGGGAAACACACAACGTAAGGCTTGAAATCTTCGTAAAACTAGATCATTAGAGCATGTAAAAACATTTAACTTAAAGATGAGCACTCTATCAAGTATATGCTATTATATTAATATAATGCATTTCAAAGTTTAATCTGGGTTAGCAGTTTCGTTTTGGGCATTTTGATTTTAGAATTCATGTTAGTATTATATAATGTATGTATAATACACAATTGCAATGGTTGAGCAGAGTTAAGTTGAAGGAAAAAATCAAGATTTCCTTCTTTAACAAGAATTGCGCCCGATGTTTTGTTGTAGCGGACGCTAGATTTCCATCCACTTCAACTACAAGCTCTAATCAGCTCACTTCATAATATGAACATTATTTTTTAAATAGAGAAACACTTGTGATTGAATTCAATTGCCGTAGAGCTTAATTTTTATCTGTAATTTAAGAAATTGTAAGCAAAAAGTGAACACTGACTACATGCTATAATATACATCACATCTCCGCAAGTAACCCTTGCACGCCATGCGCGCGTCTAGTTGTGTAGTTGTCATGGTAACGAACGGAAGGAAGGAAGGAAGGAAGGAAGGAAGGAAGGAAGGAAGGAAGGAAGGAAGGAAGGAAGGAAGGAAGGAAGGAAGGAAGGAAGGAAGGAAGGAAGGAAGGAAGGAAGGAAGGAAGGAAGGAAGGAAGGAAGGAAGGAAGGAAGGAAGGAAGGAAGGAAGGAAGGAAGGAAGGAAGGAAGGAAGGAAGGAAGGAAGGAAGGAAGGAAGGAAGGAAGGAAGGAAGGAAGGAAGGAAGGAAGGAATGACAACATATTCAGACCCAATTACCGCTATCTCCAAAATCCACGTTTTTCTGCAAAAACTACCATTCGTAACCTTTCACTATTGTCTTTTTACAAAACAGTGTGAATGGAAAAATATAACTCATAATAATAAATCCACAGTTTTGATTTTATAACAAGTAATTCAGAGGCAACTTGATCTGATATCAGAATTTAGGGTGACCCCGTACCAACCACGATTAAATATATTACTAAACACTTACCAATACAATATATTATTGTTTATTATAAATATGCAAATATTCATGATAACAGCAACACATTTTGACTTATAGAACATAGCCCACTTAGTATAATGTTTTTAAATAATATCATAACACACTGACGTATGAGTTTACAGACATCCTCGCGCTTTGGTCATGCTCGGCTGAAACGTGGCTGATAGTGACAATGAGACACGTTGCCCGGGTTGGACCAATAGAATGAGAGGCGAGAGCATTATGATTGCCACCCCCGGAGGGCAGCTTTCCGCACAACTGGGCTTATAAAAACTGGGCGTATAAAAACTGGCACTCAAGCTGCAATTTAGAGAAAATGGAGCGGGAATCTCACAGCCCATCTCCCACTAAATTCAGTCTGTCTAGTACACATTATTTCAGGGAGCATGATTCTTGTGACGGACAATTTAACTTAAATTAATTTAAGGTACCTTGTTCTCATAATTAAATTTCATACCAGAAATTCAGTTGTAATTTCTTCCGCACTGCAAGAAATTATTTATATTCCTCTCACAGCAACTGCAAGTAGGAGATCAACTCCACAACGAGAATAGTTCCAAGAGATAAATAGAAATTTTTCCATATTGTGTTTGCTAAGGTGTGTTATAACATATATTTAATTGTTTGAAGCTGCAAGTTTTCTCAACCAAACCCCAGTCGTATCTGGCGTTTTGTGGACAACTAAGCGACTTAGAGGTAGCGGCATCTTCCCAGCATTATGGAATCCTTTGTATAAAGTTTTCACTATCATTATTTTCGTAGACAAAATATTTTTTGTGAGTTTTTTAAATATTGAATTTTGTTCGCTAAGGTAAGTTATAGTTATATGATATAGATTCAATTATTTGAAGCTGCGTGGCCAGTTTTCTCAACCAAGGTCCAGCCATTTGTCTGAATGTTAGAAGCTGATAAATGTTCTCACTGTTCCAAATCTTATGATTTAATGTAACAAATTAACTGATAACTATCACATAATATAATATAATAATATAATTTAAGGCTGTAAAGTTTTCTTATTTATGTCTAAATCAGTTGTATTGCTACAGATAAACTGTTCGCTCTATATTTTTATCATCTTGTTCGTTCGATCAAACAAAACACTGTCATTGTTATTTATTTGGTTTCTTTGCATGCTTGTTGCAGCCTGTCGTTTGTCCCCCCCCCCCCCCCCCTTGTTCTCTACAAGCCTTACATTTAAATGCTATATTAATTTCCACAAAGGATGAGCTTAATTTTAATTAAATCCGAAATCCGTCAGTTGTCTACACATTATTGACTCACGAGAGTTTTTAGCAGCGAGAAGGGTAACTATCTCTCCTGAGGCACACTTGAAAGCAACATTATTGACTCACGAGAGTTTTTAGCAGCGAGAAGGGTAACTATCTCCCCTGAGGCACACTTGAAAGCAACATTACTGACTCACGAGAGTTTTTAGCAGCGAGAAGGGTAACTATCTCCCCTGAGGCACACTTGAAAGCAACACATTATTGACTCACGAGAGTTTTTAGCAGCGAGAAGGGTAACTATCTCTCCTGAGGCACACTTGAAAGCAACATTATTGACTCACGAGAGTTTTTAGCAGCGAGAAGGGTAACTATCTCCCCTGAGGCACACTTGAAAGCAACACACCCGTTCTGGCCTCCCTCCGCCTCGCAGTTCATTTCAGAGAACAGTTCCAGTAGGTTAACTGCTGGCTTGTTCGTCTCTATCGTTATCTGAGGAGGTTACTTGTTGACCGGAGATTAATTAATAATCTATTAATAATAAGGGTTTGTTACTGTTAGCTTACAAGGTTAGGCGTTTGTTGGGCTCAGTCACAAAAAATTGCCATTTATTGTTTGGTATATACTGATGTGTTGCTTCAACTTGATCTATTTTGGAGGATCATACTTTTGCTTTCTCTTGTATACCCCGTCTGTGGACCTATGCACAGTAATGTCCGTATTTACTATTTACACACCTAAATAACCTACAGAATTCTACAAAGAGCATATACTTCAGCAGCTTTTGTATTGGCATTTACACTATTTACCATAACACTCTCTCAAACAGCAAAACATAGACCGTACGGCATTGCACAATGAATTATAATACAGTATGCCACTTAGATAGTCGACATATGGCTGAGCTCTTTTCCCCTTGGTTGTAGAGTGTGTAAGGCCGATTTGAAAAATTTATTAATAAGGCGTCTTTCCGTGAGATAAAATTTATGAATAAAGTTTGATATACCTACCGACCTCAGAATGATTATTTTCCTTCCAGAGACATGTGACATTGCAGTCCCGGTGCAGTCCCTTGAGAGCTATAAACAGATAAACAGATGATAAAGAGAGACCGCTAGTGCCATCAACTAAATATCCAATGCAAACGAACGAGTTGTGCACGTGCACGACCGAGTTGTGCACGTGCACAACAACACCCCTTGCAACTTGGAACCTTGTCTCATTAGCCACTAGAGCTACAACATTAAATGTTTATTTAACTATTCGAAAATGTTATTAAAAAAAGGATTTCAATCAGATACTGAGGATCTGAAAGTAGTTAAAGCACAGCACCTGTATAATCTGTATAATCTGTGCGCGTCAGTAGGTAATGAGCTCCCGCTGTTCCACATGACATTACGGCAATATTACAACTCCCAGAGCTATAAATATAATATGCTACAAATTGTTTTGTAATATAGTGTTCATCTTGGGAGTAGACATTGGAATTTGGAATAGACATTAACGAGATTCATAGATGGTTAGTTTATAGCTAAGTTGGATGTTGAGAGGCTTTTATATCGGTTTGATTAGATAGAAAGCACCTCAATTTAAGTAAACTAAAGTAGACAGTTGGCTAACTAGACAGTTGGCTGGTCGCATTAGCCAAACTATATCACGGATTATTAGCCTAGCATTAAATAACGTTAACTAGGACCTCACTGTTTGTGGACTGTGTTTGCGTTGTTGTTCAGTGAAAAAGTTCATTTCTATTTCTTGTCATCCAACTCCATGTGGCTATAAACCTATCTTAAATTCACATTTTCTCATTGATAACGTGTACGTTCTATATTTTATATTGTTTAACCTAATTTGTATAACCTATATTGTATAACCTAATTTAATTTAATTTTAATAAAAGCAACATTGCAGCAATGTTAATACACTTGTGTGCGTTAACAGTGTTAGCGGCAGAAGTGTACAGTGAAGTGACTGTAGATCTGGATTGTGGTAAAGTCAGAGGAACAAGGAACGAGACTCAAGTGGGAGATGTGCTGGAGTTCCACCAGATACCATACGGAGTACCCCCAGTGGGAGCTAGACGCTGGACTCACTCTATTCTCCTGGAGCCTGGGGAGACAGGACAGTGCTGGGAGGAGGAGGTCTACAACGCGGCCAGTCCACAGGACCCCCCTATAAAGTGTGTGCAGTACTGGTCAGGTAGTGTAAAGGGGCAGGAGGATTGTCTCCACCTGTCTGTGAGGACACCCACCCTGGACCCCTCCTCTCCTCTCCCCGTTCTAGTCTGGATACATGGAGGTGCTTTCTGGAGCGGCTGGAGTGATGACAAGGGATACGCACCAACTGCTAATTTCACAGCAGACCTAAACGTAATTACTGTCAACATCAACTACAGGCTGGATCTGATGGGCTTCTTCTCCACCCCCGAGATCTGGAACGACCCTGAGAACCCGGGAAACTACGGTAACTTTGGGATAGGAGACGCTATAACAGCCCTGAAATGGGTGCGAACTAACATCGCACAGTTCGGAGGAGACCCAGAAGCAGTGACAGTATTAGGAGAGAGTTCAGGAGGAACTATAGTTCTGGGACTCCTGGTAGCTGACCAGGCAGACGGTCTGTTCCGGACAGCTATAGCTCTCTCTGCTCCAGCAAAGTGGGTTTCAACTTACCAGGACGCGTACGAGAGGAGGAGGAGTTTTGTGTCGGATGTTGGGTGTAATCAGAGCAGTGAGGCGGAGAGGCGACAGTGTCTGAGGGAGATGGATGTGGAGAGTCTCATAAAACACGTGGATCTGAACAGAGGCTGGGGTTTCTATGACTTCCCTTTAGCAGCAGGGCTCCAGGGAGAGAGTGTGGACTACAACGTGCTGGAACCCACCCTGATTAAAGTGTCTCCCACAGAGCTTGGTAGGAGGAAGAACACGGCGAATAAGAGAGAGCGAGTAAAGCCCGTAAAGGTAATCCTGTCTAACACTGCACAAGAAGTGGGATATAATTCTCTTTACTACGGACTTAATCTGGTGGACACCTGGGAGAAGGCTAGCTCTCTGCTTAGTGACAGGTTGATGAAGTTGGAAAAAGAGACAGGCTTCAGAGTGAGAGATGGTCTCCAGTCAGCAATTGAGGAGAGGTACAACTTCGGGGTAACAGAGGAAGGCAAATGGTGGCCTCAGCTTTACTTCGACACCCTCGTAACCGACATCAGAACAACTTGTATCACTAACGACCTGACAGAGGACCTGAACAACAACCCACTTTACGAAGCGAGAAGAATGTACGTTAAGAGTCGACCTGACGAGATCAAACGAACCAACTCCATCTTACTTCCGTACGAGACGATACACGGCTGGGACACAGAGGCTCTGTTCGGGTACGGCTGGTTCAAATTGAACAGCTCCAACCTGAGGCACCAGAGGAAGTTTGAGGAGAACTTGAGGGACCTGGTCCACTACTTGTGCTACGAGAAGGAGATAGAGGCCTGGAACCAGGACAGTACTCTGGTGTTCGAGAACGAGGATTTCCCAAACGCAGTAAAGGTCGTTAGAGAATGGCCCCAGATACAGGAGTGTAGATTCTGGGAGAGAAAGGAAATGTTGGAGTGGGGCTGGCAAAACTAGGAATCCTGGACGATTCATCCTAATTAGTTTATTAATTAGTTAATTAATTAGTTAATCCTAATGTTTAGTGGTTAGCTAGCTAAAAACATTATCCAGGGGTTTTGGAAGGGGCAAAAGTGTTCAGTTTTTCTATTTCTATGTTTTCCTGTTCACTATTTACTAATACTAAATTATTGCCGCTAATGTATTTATTGTTTGTGTGTATTAGTACGACACGTGATAATGATTATAATATTAATAATAAACTTGACAACAGATAGAGATGTAATACACATTTCTCAAAACGAATAGAGGTCACCTCGACATCTGTAGTCAGGCAATAACTGTAATCGTATTTATTCATGCATGTTAAAATTTTGTTCGTTTTCGAATTAAAGATTCGGGTATATATACCCAAATTCCGGTATATATAGCTTGCAAAGTTGCGAATAAACAATGAAATGTGCTGGAATGATCAGATCAAGAAATGAACAACTCCATCCTCCCAGACTGACCTTATGAGCAGCAGTCTTCTCAGGACAAGTAGCAGTAACGACGAGCTGCAGAGGAAGCTGAACAGAGTTGTGAACAGAGCGGGGAGAGTTGTGGTTGTTGGTGTAGTGAGCCACTAGCGGCACCACCAGGTCGCTCGCTACTCTCTGACCCGTGTTGTAGATTGAGAATGTTGCCAGCGACGTCGGACCTGAACCTAGGATTAACAGCTTTGAATGACCGGTGAAAAGGGCTGAAAGGTGTTAGGTTCTTTTACATTCTTGAAAAGTTCATGCAGGAGTGCGTCAAATGAGCTGGAAATCTGAATTGAATATCTAATTAAGATAATATTACGTTATAACTACTACTACTAGTAGTAATATTTATAAGAAAACAGGCTCCATGGCTTCGTCTGAACGAGCTAAAGTTGAATATACTATCAAATTAGTATAATTAGTAATATATTAGTAATATATTAGTAATATATTAGTAATATTAACAACACATGCACTGTCTGACAGGTATTACTAGATACGCACATTGTCACGATATGTTATACCGAAATTGTAGGTACGGTAACTAAGGGACCCGCTCATCGAATCCATGGAATTTCCCCCTGAGAATTACAGGCCATTTTTAGGAATGTTCTAAAGTTAACAACATAATAATACAGGGTGCTCCAGAAGTAACTGAACACAGGCAACCCCTTAAGGCCTTTAACAACTCTAAAGTTAACAACAATATATTGGTTGTCGAATTGTTAGAGTTTGCCTGTTTGTCAGTCTGGTATTAAGCATTTGTCTCTGTTTGATCGGTTCGTGTGTATTCAAGTCTGTCTGGGGAATGTTGAAGGTATCTTATAGTTGTGCCGTGTGTTAGTTTCCACGTACCAACATTAGTCAAAACAACAGATCTCTGAGTAGCGTAGAAGGGAACCTCTGGAGCCACTGTCAACGTCACCTTATCCAGACTTATTTTAGAAGAGCATCGCAGATTTATCTGAAAATAACATTAATGTCACATTATCCAGACTTATTTTAGAAGAGCATCGCAGATTTATCTGAAAACTTATATGTAAGTCAGTTGCAATAAAAGAATTGCGATGACCGGGAATCGAACCCGGATCCACTGCTTGGAAGGCAACGATGCTGACCATTACACCATCATCGCATGACCATCAATTGAATATTATGTTTACTATTACAAAAAACTATGCCATCGATATGGGGACTTAGTATCGGCCTGACAGATTTGAAGGCAACGATTCCTACTTTTACAACATCATGACATGGATTGAAATTAAAGTTTATACTTCCACTAAAAAATGCTCCATTGTCTAAGCATGGGGGGGGGGGGGGGGGGGGGGGGGGGCCAATGGCATAAAATGGCATAAAATGGAGACTTTTTCTATGGAGAAAATGGAAAAACCCATGAGTAATTCTCCATTTTCTCCATTTTATGCCATGAATTTAGTCTTCGAAATTTCATCTTTAACACCATTTAACACCTAAATTGGACATCCTAACATGTTTATTTACGCTTACTAGGGGCGTAACAAGCTTATGAAAGCTCATAGTAGGCTACTAGATGCTTATACTAGGTTAGTAGAGGCACACTTCAGGCAAACTCATAATTACTCAAGCCTAGTGTTAAGTGTAAAGTTATTTCTACAGGCTACAGCAGGAGTGAGTAATAGGGGAGAGTAATAGGCACTGAGAAGTGAGACCTACATCCTCGACAGTCGAAACAAGCTCGCACTGCAAAGGGGAGGCCTGCCTTCCGAGATCGCATTACCAGGGGAAAGCCTAGAGTCCAAATTTGTGTATCGAGGGGTAGGTGCAGACTTCGATAAACCGAAAAACCAAAAAAATATTTTCGGCTTATAATGAAGAGGGTAGCATGAAACGTGGAGAAAAGTAGTTTTTAGAAAAACTTTGAAAAATTTTGACTTAGAAAATTTACGGCCCGAGTCATTCTCGATACGTACCTCTCGTATCGAGAGCTCCCGATTCCGAGCTCGTGTTGCAAAGGGGAGGCCTGCCTTCCGAGATCGCATTACCGTGGGGAAGCCTCGAGTCCAAAATTGTGTACCGAGGGGTAATTTTCTAAAACAACATTTTTCAAAGTTTTTCTGAAAAACACTTTTCTCCACGTTTCATGCTATTTTGTCATTATAAGCCGAAAATATTTTTTCGGTCAAAATTTTTCAAATTTTTTCTGAAAACCGCTTTTCTCCACGTTTCATGCTACTCTGTTCATTATTTGCCGAAAATATTTTTTCGGTTTTTCGAAGTCCACACCTTCCCCTCGATACACAATTTTGGACTAGAGGTAATGCGATCTCGGAAGGCAGGCCTCTCCTTTGCAACAGGAGCTCGGAATCGGGAGCTCTCGATACGGGAGGTACGTATCGTTAATGACTCGGACCGAAACATTTTCTAAAGTCAACATTTTTAAAGTTTTTCTGAAACCATTTTCTCCCCTCTTTCATGATACTCTGTTCATTATTTGCCGAAAATATTTTTTCGGTTTTTCGAAGTCCACACCTTCCCCTCGATACACAATTTGGACTAGAGGTATGCGATCTCGGAAGGCAGGCCTCTCCTTGCAACAGGAGCTCGGAATCGGGAGCTCTCGATACGGGAGGTACGTATCGTTAATGACTCGGACCGAACATTTCTAAGTCACATTTTCAAAGTTTTCTGAAAACCACTTTTACTCTGTTTCATTATTGGCCGAAAATATCTTTTTTTAAATAATTTTTCTCGAAATTCTAAATTTTTCAGGTTTTCAATGGCATAAAATGGCATAAAATGGCATAAAATGGAGACTATTTCTATGGAGAAAATGGAAAAACCTATGAGTAATTCTCCATTTTCTCCATTTATGCCATTGGCCCCCCCCCCCCCCCCCCCCCCCCCTAAGCATCGATTCGAATCCACACGATTGCAATTAAGACGATCGATAAAAGACTTGCGATGACCGGGAATCGAACCCGGATCCACTGCTTGGAAGGCAACGATGCTGACCATTACACCATCATCGCATGAGTAAAAATATTGAACATTTTGTGTCGATTAAGAAATATAAGCCACGTGTAAACTGCAATTATTATTTTTAGTGGATTAAGATATGTTTCGATAAAATATTAGAAAAATTTCATTTTTTATAAAAAATTTGATCTGACGGTGAAATCCAAGTTTGAAGTTGACAGTGGCATTTGAAAATGGGTCAGCTAGCTGCTTGGAAATCCGTCATGTTGACCATTTCACTACAAATACTCAAACACTACAATTATCCTCACTTCAGATTGGTGCTAAAGAATCGTCCACAATGGTTGCAGCAATTCCAATTAGATTGACAAAAGAAAATTCCATTAACATACTTCAAAAAAAATTGTTTTGAATCTAGTCGAAACATTATGTACATGTATCATGCGATGATGGTGTAATGGTCAGCATCGTTGCCTTCCAAGCAGTGGATCCGGGTTCGATTCCCGGTCATCGCAAGTCTTTTATTGCTACCCAGGTAGGGTCAACACCTGGGTTAAACTCACAAATTTGCAAACCACTCTTATCGAAAAAGTTATTATGAGATGTTATCTCCACGAAAGCATAAGTTGCATAGTAGATTAAGCGGTTGTAGAGAACTTTGAGTTAAGAAATAAAGTCTACTGTACATCTAATTAAGATGCTTACGAACCAGCCGGGTGAACATACATTACAAATATTTGAACAGATAATTCGGGAAGACAATTTAGCATATTATTTGCAATCAAGCTGATGAATGGTCAGTTTTATAAAGCAAGACATGTCTGGATGTTGCAGCGCAGGTCAAATATTAGAACAAGTAATAACATTGTAATTTCTGAACAATGCTAAAAAGTAATAACAGCCCATAACCGATACTATCATATGCACGAGAAAATACTCGGCTAAGGTTCTTATTATTTGGATTTCAAGTTCTTATTGCCTGCCCGGTTGAAACAAGAAATTAATAGATTTAGAAGACAAACCCGCGAGTTCCAGACTAGAGATAGGCAGGCAACAACTTGATTTTCCCACACTGACCACTTCAGACGCGAACATTTAATTGTGAAAAAGGTAGCGCGCGTTACGCAAACTAAACGCATCAACATGGACCGGCCCAATCTGTTCCAGTATCTCGTGTTTTATTGACAACTTATATTTTGAAAACTAACCTTTACGGTTACAGTAGGGTATTCTGTGTCTGACTCCTCGTGTTTTACACCCACTATATCCAACCCATTGACGGGGTCTACAAATATGGAGAAGTCAGGCTGATCTGTAACCTTGGGAGCGTGCTCAATAGGTTTCGTGCAATCTCTAATTACTTGCTGTAATTTGGCCATTTCTTGATCTTTCTCCTGAATATTGGATGAAATTAAATTACCGACATTAGGTGTAGGTACTTATGCAATGTAGGCACATTGAACAATACAAGTTGCAGAAACAAGAAAGATCTAGGAAAACAGAAAGATAACTCACATCGTAATTAATTTCTCTATTTTCAGCAGGAGTAGCTGTTTGTAAGGACGGGTCCGTTCCAAGATAAGACACGTATATTTTACCCGTCTCATCTAACGTTACTATGTGTCCTCTCAGTTGTCTGAAACATCAGTATTACAGGAAACAAATACTCAAAGTAAGTTGTTCTTCAAGTCACTGTGGACGCACGCAATAACGTTCATGAAAGCGACCAAAACACAAATAAGGTTAGATCTGAGTTTACTCAGTAATAGCAACAGAAGTAAGAACCAGTACAAACCCGACACTAAGAACCCCAATAAAAACGGGGACATGTTGAAAAGAAGAGCTCCAAGCGAGAGTTGTATCCTGCCAAACGTAACAAGTACGACAGTAGTTAGCGACCAACATATTCACCGTACCCTCGCTCAGACTAGCGTACGGCGCGAAACAACTGGGGTTAAAATCAAACTTCTTCATGTATCTGATTACACCATTCTCGCGCAGAGCGAACAAGTTGTGCTCCCCCAGCACGAATATAGTTGTAGCATTGTCGTCAGCACAGTTAAATATCTTAACGTCCACCACGTTGTCCCCTATGTTAGTTTTCCAGTCAACTCTGAGCCGTTTACCGGCCCCTGTTTTTATCTGGTCCTTGCTCTCAGACTCAGTGCTGACGGCTAATGTCTGGTACCTATACGCCTCTACAAAGTTGGAGGAAGAGGAGGTTATGAAGGTGTCTGTTGAGGGAACATAACAGAGCGGACCCGGGATCAGAAACTGGGGGAGGAACCTGGCAAACGCGAAACTGTCTTGCTCGTAAAATGATAGCATGCCGTCCATTGATTGGACACATATGAAATCTTTATCTGAAATAAGATAATAGATGACTCACAGCTTGAAGATTAGATACATTTTATAAATTGAAAATTTGTGATAGATTCTTATCAGACTCGAAAAATTAAAATCTCATACAAAATCGGAAATCTTGATTTCAATGCCAAGAACTGTCCAACCGGGAAATAACAAAAAATCGATATAAAAACAAAATAATATACTTACTTTTAACACTGCCAAAACTACCAAGGCACATATTACACGCAGTCCTCTCCAACTTATGGGAGTAAACCTGACTAACGTTGTAAAAGGTGCCGGTATCTTTAGTGGTAGTATCCACACTCACACTACACACCACTACCTTACGAGGATGCAGTATAGCTAGGTACACTCCACTGTCCCCAACTAGTCGCCCAATGTCTACCCCTAAAATAGGGCTATCTGTCTGGTATTCTAACATCATGTCCTCGTGATTCCCTCCTTTGGTTTGTGGACAGTAGATTCTTAGAATTCCTTGAAGCGAGCCAACTATTATCTTTTCTGAAATAAGGTCTTGTTATGATGCTGGCTTCCAGAGAGGTATTCTAGCTAATAATGTGTGCCAAATCGCACAGCATTTTTTAGAAGAATCTCAACCAGATTGCAATAAATATCCAAACATTAATGAAAAGAAAGATTTTAAACGTACTCACCTAATCCATCAGGACTGTTATCCACATTTCCGATGCAGATATTGCACGCATCATAATCCTCTCCAGCTCCCGCGTGCACGTACCACCATTCCCGTGACTTGAACAGAGACATACTACTGCATGATTTGTTTTGAGTAATGAGTTGAACAGAGACATACTACTGCATAATTTGTTTTGTGTAATGAGGGGAATTTCTAAGTTTGGTCTTTATAAGCAATAAATATTGTAACCAATGGACACTTTAGTTTTAATCTCTGATTTAATAAGCTCACATTTATCTTGAGCACAGCAACAATCTTGTTCTTTAATGACACTGTTTCCTTTCTAAAAAAACATTCAGCAAATTTACATTCGGAACTGAGCTGTGTTCCTCATCTTTTGCTTGAATTTCTAAGTCAGGCTTATAATGACGTTTCTGATATGTTCAAGAAATACTTTGAAACTGTTGAGTAACGAATCAGTATTGTTAAGTACCGATTGCCTAATTTTCATATAAAAGTAACAAATTATATTCAGATGGAGTTGCAAGATTATAAAATTAAATAAAAGTTGCCCCAATAAACGATGAACAAATAACTTAAAACCCAATATCTGGACCAAATAATAAAAAATATCAACTCATAAACTCATAAAGTCAAAAGGTCACGAGCATTTTCAAAGTCAACAAGTCAACAACAACTAACAACTTTACTCCAGAACATCTCTCACCAAGTCTCTGTCTGGTAGAGCCGGTTTCTAACGAGCGACTCAACATATTTCTCACTCTCACTCTTAGAAAGTTTACCCTGTTCACTTGATACCCTTATTAGGGCATCCTTTACTTGGAAAGGCATGTTCTTACTGTTACCTGTGAGATTAAAGTTGTGAGATTACTGAATATATATTAGAAAAAAAGATCAAATTAAAAAGGATCTTTTTGAAATGATTTATGAAGATTGACATGTTGGTAAATTAAATCTTATTTAATATGGACGGGAAAACACAATGAAGTAAAAACCCTGTGAGCACTAACCAGCGACGCAGAAGACAGCACCTTGCTCCAGCGCACCCCAAACAAGCGCGCTGTGCTCAACAATCCTGTGCTGCACGTAAATCTTCCTTTCCTGATCTCTAGAGAAAGCAGTGATGACCTGCAAGTTGGTGATCTGGTCCCACTCAGATCTGAAGAAGTAGTCGTGGTGTTCGCTCCGACACCCGTAGAACAGGATGAGTTGTTGTGATGTTTTGGCGCGGGATTGGATCAGGGAACGAAACGGAGCACAGCCTGTTCCTGGTCCTATCTGTAAAGGGGTTGTGAGATGATGTATGTGGCATGTTTGTAATGATGCATGTTTGTAATGATACATGTTGCATGTATTTAACAGTTCAAAAACTGAAGGAGTATATAGAAACCTAAAACCTATAAACGGCTAATAAACAATCAAGATCGGTTGATTTTAAACACGAAATCTTCTTACCATGATAATGGGTCGGTCGGTGGGAAACTTGAAAGACCCCGGCTCAGCAAACAGTTTGACACAAGAATTCAATGGTAGATTAGCAAGGTAATTCGAACATAGGCCTATTCGTTCTTTCTTCATTATCGTTCTGTACCTGTACAATACGAGGTTTTGATGGTAGAAGTAAATATATAAATATATTATTAAATTATATGTATAATAGTTCAAGTCGCGGAGTATGTCACCTGTCCCGTATTTCTTGAATTGTCGTTATCTTAGAACATAATATAATATTATAACGTATTAATTATTATATAATAGTAACCTGACAACAGCCATGCAAATATGTAGTCTATCCTTATCAACACATTGGGCAGATGCAATAGAGAAGCCCCTGGGTTTGATAAGAGGAATAAAGTCGAGGAGATATCTCATGTCCAGATTAGCTCTAACTGAGTGGAAGTCTCCCAGAACCTCCAGTATCGTACGACGAGGTCTGGACACGTACGAGTACAGCTCTTCTCTTCCAAGCAACTGAGGGGAGGACGAGATCAGAGGAGATAGGAGGAGATAGGAGGAGATAGGAGGAGATAAGAGGAGATAAGAGGAGATAAGAAGAGATAAGAGGAGATAAGAGGAGATAAGAAGAGATAAGAGGAGATAAGATTATAAGAGGAGATAAGAGGATATCGAGATAAGAGGAGATAAGAGGAGATACGACGCTAAGTCGTATTTATACAAATTTGGGATTCATCAACACCAGTGACCAGTGCAGTGGTCACAAATTATTATTTGGTAATTAGTGCAGTTACATACAGAATCGGGGACTAGATTTCTTTCAAAGCTAATAACAATTAATGTTATAACTAATAACATGTTATTAGATATAACATTGGTAAACAATTTAAACATAACATTGCATAACATAACAATATAATCATTATTGAACCATAACATAAAATATTTCAAAACAAAAATGAATCGCATCACAGTATCAAACAATCAAAATATAATATTCGTCAGCAGCCTTTTCTTTAACTTTCACCTCTCGTCTATTTCCTGGTCCTCCCACAACAAGCAGCCTTATACAAGTATCTCATCTTCAATACTACTTACTCAACTTTAGCCTCCCAGTGCAGTATGTGATTATTAGTCTTTCTTACTTTCCATCTTCGTCACCAATGTCTTGATCAACAAACCTCACTCCTCTTGAACAAAACAAGACCTCACTCTCCTATACAAGTTGATGTATCTCTGCCTCAGCTCAGGTTTCCTTGTAATAAGAATAATGGGGTAAACAGCAGCGTTAATGAGAGGAAGGGAGAATTCAGTGAGACCCAACATGTTACCTTGACGGATAGCTGATGGTAGGATGAGATATCTGTACACTAGAGATCCTATCATCATAACAATCACAAACGATATGTGGCAGATAAAGAATGTAAGTGAGACGAGGACGATGGTGATACAGGCATGACGACCAGTGTTGGCTAGAGAGGAGGTGGTGTCAGGGAGGGCTCGTTTCAGGTAAACCACTTGTAATACCATGCTGACTAAGATAAGGAGGGGAGGTAGGATATGGTCTAGCAGGAACGCTGCCAGGACAGTGTACCCGTTCAGCTGGAGACCACTGTTGTAACACCGTGAGTCCTGGATCCCTCCTCCGTGATAGGGAGCACAGAAGAGGAGAGCAGCAGTGAACCCACCCGGGATATCAAAAAACTTCATCAGATCCAGATATGGGGTGGATAGTATCTTCTGTATGTTGTACTTCAGGTCAGCTATGTTGAAGAATGCGATATCAGACAGGTGGAGGAATGTGATGGTTGCTGCAAGGATCATAGTGGTCTTCTTTAACCGTGGTGTGTTGAGACGACGGAAGGGATCAATGACATGAACTGTGAGAGTGAGGGAGAGAGCTATGTTAAAGAGCCGGGAGCAGGAGTAGCCGGGGAGACCTGTAGCCATGTAGTAGTATAGACTTCTGTAGAGGACTTCCTCGCTGACTACCCCGTTGAACACCAGGATACTTATCACTGATACTATCAGCTGGCCCTGGGCAGCGAGAATGTCTGAGAGTGCTATTCCCATGAACAAACTCGGTACAAACTTGGCTCTGTCCTTGAAGTAATCGGCGAGGATAATTGTGCTGTGGCTGATTACTACCAGAGAAAGTGTGATTGTAAGAGGGCTGAGCTGGTATATTGCTCCCTTGAAGGCGAGCAGTTGATCTTGTTCGTCATTAGATACATTCATTATCAGGCAGCAGATAGGATTTGGATCCGTTACAAGCTATGATAGCTGTATAAAGTAATAATTATAGAATTTAAGTGATTTAAAAGCTTGGGTTCTATAATAATATAATAATATATAACTATATAATAGACAATAAATGTCAATATATCTGTCCAATGTAACAGTTCAACAATTATAAGATTGAAAGCCAGAAAATAGGTGCCAAGTTATTCTATATTTTGAACTGATTCCAATAACGTTCAATAACTATAAGAATGTACGCAGAATGATTAAAAAACGGTTGTAAAACAAGCGTGTCGTGTCAACTATATATCTAACCTAGTAACCAGTTCCCCCACTATCAGGTAACACAATGTCCCCTACTCAATCAAATATTTACTGAACTTCTTGTGCAGAAATGCACGCAGGGAATGATTCTTGTAATGTGTAAATAATACCTTATGAACACATAAATGTACATTTACTCTCAGGATACATTTTGTAAATCCATTGTGTTTATTTTTATTTAATTGATTGATTTGAAAGATTTCAATTTAAAAAACCGTTATGTGGGATGTAGAATGTAGATTGTAGTAGCAGTATACATCTCGTGATATTTACTGAACTTCTTGTTAAATGTAAACTTGTTCTCGTAGGGCAAATAAAAGAAAAACGTACCGAAATGAAATCTTCAAACTTCTCCTTTTCCAGCTCATCAGTAGCAAAGTTGGTGCAAATCTCAAAGAAGACTCTGGAAGGAATGGAAGCAATGTCCAGATACTCCTTCAGAAGAGCTCGTATAGTCAGAGATTTAGGGAGTGGAGCAGGAGGAGCTGATGTAAACTCCAATGTTGAGTCCAGGTTCAGGTTCAGCAGGCTCGCTGCTTCCATCACGTCCTCGTTAGTGTTTCTAGGGGGATTTAGGGCGTTTTTTCATTATGTTATAATCAGTACACACTAAACAGTACACAGTATAATTTCAGAATTTTTTTTTCTTCATATACTTCAAATGAACTCATGTTCTAAACATCATTAATGAACTAAATATACATTTGTTGAACTCTTAGAGAGTCTACAACCACCGACCTGGGGTATATCCAAACAACATCGCCAGGTTTATACAGGATCCCACTCCCGGTTATATCAAACTCAACCAGCCTAACGTCCTGGAAGTGCTCCTCACTCGTTACCCGTCTTATACCCCTCATTACACTGCTGAACGGCTTGTCTTTAGAGCAGGTACCCTCCTTAGAGACCTCCTTAGAGACCTCTTTAGAGACCTCGTTAGAGACCTCCTCATCTGTTTCTATCTTGTCAACCTCATCCCCTTTCTCCCCCTGACTGATAGTAAAATTGTACCGTGGAGGTAACATACGATAAGATCTAGAGAGCTGTTTCTGGAGATGGTTGCCCAGTTTCTGGAACAGTTCCCCCATCCAGACGTAGGATTGGTAGTCTGCTCCTTCAGGGTGCTGCTCGTCAGATAATCCTAGTGTGTACAGTGGCTTCCCTCCTGCCGAAATGTTGTAGTATTATAATATACGTTCCTACACTACAAGGTTCACTTACTACTCAGAGAAACAACCTACACGGGGAAATCAGTTCCATCGATCTAATGTAATTTGTTAAACTGAGCTTGTGCGTGTAGAATGTAGTGGATATTATCTTATTATCGACGCGATGGTAGTTATAACTAACTATTATTATTAACTTTTTGGATAACAAAGCCAACTTTTCTAAACTAACCTAATCCTTCCATCCGTCTATACAAACGCTTAGCGGTGTAATTAAACTTTGCGTAAGAAGAATCTCCGAGACCCAGAACAGAGAAGTTGAGACCGGAAAATGTTTGCGGAGTGAGGTGTTTGGACAAGAGTTGTCTCCAGAAAAGTCTCATGTTTTTAGGCTCCTCCCCGTCCCCAGTTGTGGAGCACACGAACAGTGCTATTGTCCGCTGAGAAGGTGAGTTACAGTTAAGTACCTTGTTATGTGAGAATATGTGGTGAGTTACAGTAGCTTGTTGTGTGAGATAGTCTCATGTGATGTAATAGTGTCATGTGATGTAGCCACACACTTACATGCTTCATAATACTACGTAATACACAAGTGTTTGTTAACGAAACAATGACTTCTAGAACATAACATTATAGTTGAATATATTTTAGAGGACAATTTAAGATATTAGAAGACTTTACGTTAACGTTAAAAGAAGAATAACTTCTGATTAATCTCCATAACAACCGCTTAAGTTACAACTCACAAACCGATTGAAGGTCCTGAAGAGAGACACTGTTCATGTCAGATAACCGCACATTCAGCTCTCTGTAAACACATTCCCTGTAGAGATACTCTGCCAGCTCCCGGGCATTACCAGTCTCAGAGCCGTATAACACCACCAGCTCCGACATAGTTACCGGCCACTGGCTACAGTGAGTGCCCTTATTTGGTGCCTGGCTACAGAGTGCCCTTATTTGGTCCTCATCGGGGGTTGGGGTGGATCATGTCCCAATCATCTTATCCTGCTAACATAACGGGGAATCAGAATTTTACAAGAATCGAGTTATGGTAATTAAGAGATCTAAGAGAGTAGAAAATTCGATTTTTTATTTGATAAAAATAATGCGAGTAGAGTAATACACTGCGTTAAGTTGGATAAAAATGTAAGTTCAATAACATCTAAATGTAGTATCAAATTACTCAATCTAAACAATTATCATCCTGACATTAACCAAAAAATAATCTCATTGAGATGTTTTAAAAAGTTAAATTAATGTCCGCAGAATTGAAAAAAACTAATTTCCAACTCATAAAAACTTATTTGTGTGAACCACTCTCTACAATTTCAACAAAATCCACTGAAACAAAAAAGCATTACAGTAACGTATTGTAGGAATACAAATATCTATCATCTAAGAAATGTAAAAATCTATAGTCTAATCTGTGTTATTTAAATATTTACATCAAATTAAGGCCAGGGCTTGATGCGCCCAATCAGTTGAATCAAACCATACAACAATCTGACAGAAAACTCGTCAGTTTTTTAGTGATGGCTATTTATTCCGAAGTGCAACGCTTTTCTTCAAATCAATGTGAACATTATGACTTTGCTTGCTCCTTCAATTTATTTGCATGGTTTGACACCACAATTCAGGACCTCAACCCATCTAATCAATCAATGTTTGACAGTTTGACCGAGCAACACTCCCGGGTGCACAACCTCACAACTTCTCGAGCAGAGCATATGCAGCAGTGGCCTCCTTGTTGACCTCAGGACTCTTGCAAGAAGTGAGTTGTCTGACCCGTTCCACAGTGGTTACCAGTATCATGTACAGACTCTCCAAGTTACCTGACTGACAACTGGTCAGGTGGTTCCGGGACATCTGGAGCAGCTGGTCCCAGAACCTCTCCAGCAGTGACTGTACCTGAGGAGAGGGAGATACATTCCAGCTAATCCATACTTGAAACATAAATACAAACTAGATACATACAAATTATTAATTATATCGAAGACTCTACAACAAAGCCGCCTGAAATTATTAGAAATATCTTAGAATAAAACATTGGGATGAGATTAGTACGAAATAGCCCCCCCCCCGCCCCCCCCCCCCCCCCATTCTACAACATACCATAACGAGAGCAATGTGAAGGTGCCCCCCCCCCCCCCCCCTACATTCTACAACATACCATAACGAGAGCAATGTGAAGGTGCCCCCCCCCCCCTGCATTCTACAACATACCATAACGAGAGCAATGTGAAGGTGCTCGTCTCTGTCACTGTGCAGGAACCTCAGAACTACAGGCATAAACTCCTGACAAGCTCCCATACTGACCGGCTGACTGGACTTCTCCCCTTTCCGTACACGCCCTGTTGTGGAGAGATTATCAGCGCGCAATATTCCGTCCAGGCCCTTCACACTTTGTTTCTGTCTGGTTCTAATATACCGTTACAATAATGACTTTGATATATAGAACTTTACTTTTAGAATATGGCTGCACCGAATTGAAGTCAAACCCAAAATAAGAAGAGAAAGAAATGTTCGACTAAAAGCTAACCAATTATCCAAGGGAAGACATCGTAAGAGAGCCCATCGTCATTAACCCTCAGTATATGGTCCATGAATTGGTTCATATCTTTGTGCCACAAAGTGCGTGCTGCACGCAGTTGGATCAGCCGTCTGCTCAGTTTATTTGCTATTTCTGGATGTTGAACAGCAATGTTCGTAGATTGGTCATTATAATTCATCCTTCAACACTTTAATTGGTTTAGCAATAGGCATTATATTATTCATTACAAATTATCAACAATACATTTTTGGATGTTAGGCTAAACTTTTGAAGGTAATCAATACAACTCCAAAGTTATCTATTTTCTTGATTAAAGATAGAATGTACTGTAAGGTCTTGTTGCCTCAATGATCACGACTCAATACATATCAAGGGATTAAATACTTTAAATATCAGGTACATGTTATAATTTGACAAACTTGAAATGATAAAGATACATAATTAATTAATTACATAATTAACTGTCGAGATGAACTTCAATAACGTGTCAAACAACACCGATTATTGCTATGAATATTATTCATAGAATAAGATTAAATTGAATCGCAAAGTCTCTGCTGGAATCAATCATTGTCAATATCCAACATTTGAGATGAATTCCTCATTGTCAATATCCAACATTTGAGAGGATTTCTTCTTGAAGAGGATGTCCTCGCATATCTTACATCTCTGATCCATATCTCTGAGGCAGATTCGACAGTACATAGTGTCACATTTGCTGCATCTGAAGGTAGATAGACATACAGAAATGTACTAAGATAGAAGTCAAAGTGGGTATATCTTATTGTTTCTAACTTATTATCTGAGGCCAGGGGGAACTGCACTACCCGGCCTTCCCACCGTGATGGTATAATATTGGTTATTGCATTAAATGCATATAATGCTATCAAATACTAAATATCTGCATGATCTAAGCAATTATTCATAATTTCAACTGAAGAAACCAGAAAATAATTATCTTCAGAATCGCTGTAAAACATGAGAAACAGAGAGATAACTTTAATTTAATACTTACTCTTCCAGTAAATCATTCCTATTACAAACAGCACATGCAGTCTCGAATAGCCAAGGGAATATTCTCTGCATCTTGTTCCTCTCTGAAACTTTAGCAAACAATGTCTCAGCTTCATGCTTAGAGTCGTAAGCTCTACTTTTTAATATTTTGTTGTGCAACAATTCAACTCTGCGTCTTCTGATGACTGGATTGAAACTGAAAACACAAACAATTAAAATAATTAATTAATTACGGAGAACTAGATCGTAACGATCAGCATTATATTAAATAACTTAATCAGTTAACTAGCAATTAGAATAACTTCCTCTTAATTATGACAGCTATGGTGAATATTTTTATTTTTATTTTCATCAATTATAAAAAATACCTGTCACACAAGGTATGTCTGAGTCTGAGGAAGTATATTTGTGTCAGGGATATGAGTAGAATGATGCCTCCCAGCCAGAAGTGATAAGCTGTCTGAGAATGAGGTGCTAAGGGCTCCTTGAAACATGACTCAGTGTCAAACAGCAGGTGTATTCTGGATGTGTTAGTTGAAATTGCATCTATCTTATTCAGATCTGGAAAGCAGATTAATCTTTACAATAAGACCAATAATTTGTACACACAAACTCAAATTATCATTCGAACGACGCCTATACTTATAGAATATAGACGTGAACAATAATAGTATAATAACAAATTAAAGTTTAAGAAAACCTCTAGATTAAGATTTAAAACTTATACCTACGGGTATATGGCCCCCAGAATATAGGTGGCCCCCAAAATATAGGTCATGTTAGTGGATACAGTTCTAACCAAGATAAGCGATACTCTTGGGATCTGTTACTGCTAGGTTGGAGTAAAACATGTAACTTATGTTTCTGGATAAAAATTTTGGACCTACATGAGGTATTTTGGTATATTTGGTCATGACAGCGAAAGATTTAAACGATGTTGTCATTTTCTAGAGGGGTAAATATGGCGAAAAATTGTCATGACAAAAATCTGTCCAACACATGCCATTAAGACTACTGGTATGAGTATAAGTATTATTTTAAGCTATCTTTTCATCGAGACATCTGCAAACTGACAATTTGGAAAAAAGTTATGGCCACCACAATTTTACGGGCCCCCAGAATATAGGTCTATACGACCCCCAGAATATAGGTTGGTCAAAAACCCTGAACATGCCCAAAACCATGCTTTGGGATGCTCTACTTGTAGCTACTAGTCTCGTGAACCCACATATCAAGTTTTATCAAAATTGGATAAAAATTGGCCGAGTTATGGGATAAAAACAAAAACCATATGCCCATATTTGGGCATACGCACCAAATTTGATCGATTTTGGTCCATAAATTGGTCAAATATCAATATTTTTGAATGAAACCAACTTTATATGGAAGGTAAGCATATATTACACATTCTCTATGATTATCAGCTCAATATCTACCTAACTGTGGATTCTGTGTTCAAATAATCGCAAAAAATGAACAAAATCGCCCATATCTCAAACTGACTTCGCTCAAAACAATAGAACTCAATAGGGTTTCAATATTTTCACATGAAATTTTCATAATCAACGTAGAATTGTCTCATGACCTTAAGTTTTGGGACAGAATTTTGAGTTAGGCCTTTAAAAAAATTTGGCGGCCAAAAATGTCTGATTTACAGTCATTGAGGTGCACATTGTATTGATACAGATAAAAACAGCCCCCCCTCAATCATATCTAGGGACACTCCTTCAATCTTATTTAAGTATTTAGTTAAGATCCCTACTAAATGAGTGCATGAAAACTTTTTAACAAGTAAAATTAAAGATTTTACTCATTACGGGTATATGGCCCCCAGAATATAGGTTTTTAAAAAAAAATAGCGACCAAGATTCTGCATTTTCTCTGTCACCCTGAGCATTAAGGAATGTGGGGTAGTGATGAGAAACAGTTAAAGAACATATGCTGAAGAGATGGCATCATCAAAATGTATGAAGGTGGAGTATTTGAGGACGATTTTTGCATACCTATATTCTGGGGGCCGTAGTTTTTGATTTTTTGCTATTAAGTATACTCTAAACCATTTCAATTTAGTATCTGGAGCCATTGGCATCATCAATACAGTCTCAGCAACATATTCTGACTGCATATAACTGTCTGTGACAATTTTAGAACAACTTAGGAACAGATGTTTGGACCTATATTCTGGGGGCCCTTTTAAAAAATGGTATTTTTACAGGTGAAAAAAAAGTACACTTAAAAACCTAATAATTATTTTCAACTACCCAAGAAACATTTAAAGGGTTACTATGTACATATTTACAGCCCTAAACATGCTTAGAAGTAGTTTTAACACCTGTTTCTAAGTGCTCAAAAAAAGACCTATATTCTGGGGGTCATATACCCGTACTCAGCAGTGTTTAATCTAGTTATCCCAGAAACAATCATGATAAAAGTAAGGACTGCTAGTAACCTTTGACATCAATAAAGTGTTCCACTCTGATAGGCCCATACTGATGCATTATGTGTATCATAAACTGTAACATCTTATCTCCTCCTTCGATCACTGCTATCAAAATAAGGAAAGCTATAGCTTTCAACGAGCCTCTAGTCGCTACAAAACTGAAAAACAATGATTTTTATATAATTATAGATAAATTGTGACATTATGCCGTTTGTTTTGAACTTTTAGTCGAGAAAATATTAATTTTTGCTGAACTGTCATTTAAAAGTAATTCAGTGATCTACATCGCAATATGAATAAAGAAAGGGCAACAAAAAAGTAACAACAAAATCACTCACTACTCTTCAGGTGACATAGTTAGTTGACCCATCTGTATGTATTTTGCACCATCACTTTGCTTCATAGGAAAAATAGAACTTTCAGCCAGCCTGTCGTATTTGATAAGAAATCTGCCAATGTAATGGTTATCAAAGGAGGAGTCACTTTTGTAAGTGCTCATGTAACCATAGGTTTTCCAATAAACTAGTATCAGAGATATGAGTTTCAAGTAGTCAGATATTTCAATAATGGTGAAGGGTGTGAAGGAGAAACGGTTTGTAAGACGCTGCTCCAATTCTACTGCCGCTTCCTTTGCACTTCGAACTTCGACAATTTTCCGATCAAAAGTCATGTTAGCATCTATTTCAATCCAGGCGTTTTTCTTGATGGTTTCTTCCAAATAGTAGAATTTTTTGAGAATGATGCTGGTGATAAAGTGGGTGACAAGCTTTGGCACATTGCAGAGGTATGCAATGGAATTAAAGATTATATCACAAATGGGTCGCATTACAATACTGAAGGCATCTTTGAAGAAGCAGAGAATTTTCTGAAAGATGTTTCTCCTTGTCCTGACGTGAAACACTTTTCCAGTGTGAAGTGTCTCTGAATGAGGATGTGAATTGTAGCGGGACTTGTTCTGATAGTACACATGGTGAGGTGTAGTGTCTTCCAGCTCAGCATCTTCACTAGTCATCTCATTGATTTCCTCATCTAAGGTATTAGAATAAGGTGCTTTTGGAGTAACAGGTTTATTTTCCATGTAATCAGAATGAGAGCTGTTTGCAAAGTACTTCAATCGGTATGAGGGAGTTCCAGTTACCAGAGTCAGCTTAGGATTTGTCTCATTACTTTGTCCTGCTACTGGTAGGTAAGGTTCATCAGATTTTGTCGAGGTTTTGTAACTGTAAGATCTGGCAGATTTCCTCGTGATGAAAGCATCTCTCAATGGCTTATATTCAGTAAAGTTGTGTGAAGTAGGTGGCAAATAATTGAGCTGTAAATTATTAACTGACCGCTTCTTTTCTTTGCCACATTTTTTGAATGCATCAAAGCACTTTTTGTTCAGTTTTTTCATCGTTGCTTCACACTTATCACTAAATTCGTTGATCTTTCTGGCGATATTTAGCAGAAATGCATGCTTTTTTTCAATCTTATCCTTTAATTCCTGAAGGTTTTGTTGAATATTATCCATCTTTTGTTTTGCTTTATCCTTAACTTGAACAACATGATCATGCAATCGTTGGTATCTCTCTTCGACAGCATCCGTCAAAACATCACTCATGTTTTTAGCTTTTTCAGCAATACAGTTCATCTGGGACGTTATTAACCCTGGATAAATTGATTAATTTAGCCAACTTTTAAATGACAATAGCAGTGAAAATTTTCAACAATTTTAAATTTAATGAACCATAATTAGTAAAACTTAATTAGTAAAACTTAACTAGATTTGTTACGAAATGAAGTCTGATCAGTTAAATGCTAAAGAATTGATGAAACTACTGTACTTGTGTTATTGCGCATGTTAGCTGCAGGACCATTTAGAAGAGAGGTCATCAGCATAACCAAAACAACCCGTCTGCCATGGCGTGATGCAATTATTGGCAGCAACAATAGACAGAAACAATGTATTTTACGATTCCATATACTCAGCAAAACTGTAAAATTTAAATCCATGATAAAGTAAAGTAAAGTAAGTAAATAATAAATTATAACAGTTCAAGCCAAAATGGTGTTTAAATCAAATTGATGGTACATTCCAACACCAATTTTGTGCGTGGTCAGAAACAATACATTATGAGAATGGGAATTATGACCAACTGTTTCAAGCATGTTCTTACCAGTAACCACTGCAAGTATGATAGATGCTATGTTAAGGTAGCTTTGATGATCTGGTGAAACTGGAATGATCAAACTGATGAAATATCCCTACAAGTACAAGTTGTGAATATTGATGGATTACAATTATAAGAAAGTAATAATGTATTATAATACATAAATATTGTGATTGATCATGAATGATTGAAATGCATTCTTCTTCCGAATAATTGCACATGTAAGTAATGGTGTAAATTCTTTAATATGAATGGAAGCTATCATGGTGTAGTGTGATGATATTTTAAAGGCCAATTAAAGGATAACAACGATAAAATTGATCTATTGATAACCAACCTGACAAGCTGCAGAGAACAAATTTAAGAAATGATAATGAACATTTAGTTTTATCATTTTTCTTATCCAAGAAATCTTCTTACACATCTTGTACAGTCTTGTTCTCCAAAACCAACCAAACAGAAACTGGAATAAAAATCATGTTATACAGAAATATTCAATTTTTATCTTCATTCAAATATGTAATTAGGTTGTTATAATAGTTCATAATTCAACGAATAACAAAAGGAATAGAAAATGCAAGTATAGCTAGAAAAGTATACTCACAAAAAATATGACAAAGTTGATCAGACCTCCCAGAGCTGTGAAGAATGTATCTTTAATAAACCTGTACAGGTCATAGATCTTTAAGAAACCGTACAGAGGGACACATATCAGGGATAAAAGTCTCACATACCACCTGTCTACCAACTCAACATCACTGTTAGATTCCACTATCTGGAATAAACAACTGTAAGCTGAAAAGTTGTCAACATTCTGGCCTTCAGTAGCCTTTTTAGTTGTGTTTTATGGGAGATGAATTCCTCTAGTTTATATCATTATCATCTGCACAATAAGCATCCATCTGCAACTATGTTGCCTTCTTGTACAAGTAATACACTGTCTTCATTCACACAATAAACCTTTTTATATATACCTTTATCTTCGATGAGTAGGATCTATGTGGTAGCCGTTCATATTTTAAGGAATCAATGCTGCTTTCCTTCATGATCTAGTAAGGGCTTAATTTGTATGTTGGTTTTTCATTTAAATTTGTTTTCATTCCATGCCGCGCCATTATGAAACCTAGGATCATTGTGCAGAGTTCGTTAATTAAATAAAATTTGTTAATCGAATGGGTTATGATAACAAAATCAAAGATGATGATAACAAAATAACATCATGGTACAGTAAAAAAGAACATCCACAAAAAAATATCCACAATTAATTCATTTTAAAGATCAGCTGAGAGTTCAACTTAGCATGCTTGCTACTATGCCTGCAGCCGACAAATTAAAAACATTAGTTATTTAAAAACAATTATTGGTGCAATGCAACGGTGGCCAAATGTGGCAGGAAGTTATCAAACTCAAATTCAAATTATGCAAGCTATTAGAGCCACGTGTTGTACACCTAGCAAAATATTTAAATATCAAGAATGGTTACCGTAGAACTAGATTTAAATACATGTAAAGAATGATGTATCCATACCCACTAAAATATAAGCAGGATACAAGATCTTAGATAAAGCAAGTCTAAATTTAATTCTGTAACTTTTAAGTGCAGTGAAACCTTTATATACCAGGCCTCGTGGGGTAGGGTGAGAATCCCTGCCACGTTTTTGGTCAGTTTCGCCGGGGCTCATGTCTTTCCTCGAGGGAGCATTAGTGTCTACAGAAAAACTGACAAATCCTAGCGAAGTCCAATCCGAACCACATCTTCCATCAGAGGTGGTGCTGGGTAAGCTGGTTACTGAACGGATTGGCCTGGAGAAAGGCATAGTCCTGTTATTCTCAAGTTAACCATAGAGGGGGTCAGGCGCTGTTCGCTCACGGCTGGTTCTTGGAGCCAACACCCTCAGCCCCACAGAAGTGGGAGCACTGTTGGTGGTGGCTCACCCAGATAACGGACAGTGTCTCTCCTTCTTTCTTCTTGGACTTGCATTGTTGCTGGTGAGTCAGCTGGCAACAGTGTACCATACTATCATGTTCATGTTTTCTTCCCCACATCTCCTACACCTCACCCCAACCGCACGTTCCTTGCGGGTAAAGGAACATTCAACCGCAGGTTCCTTGCGGGTAAAGGAACAAACAAAAACAAAAAACGGCAGACTCCTTGCCGGTAAAGGAGAATTCTACAACAAGTTCCTTGCCAGTAAAGGAACGTTGAACAAGTATCGAATCAGTATGGCTATTCCCAGCTTCAGATAGGGACAGCGTGACAGTTTTATCCTTCAGGGACAGCGGAAGCTATGCCAAAATTTTCAGCCGATCCCTTTCATGTGCAAGTTTAACCATCCACAGTTTCTATTACTGATTTTGAGACACCTCCGGAGACTTAATCATGCATGGTTCTTGAGTCAAAGTATAGCAAATTGCCGGAAGAGAGTTAATATATATGTAATTTCAATTATTTATGATACCGATACAAGCATTCAAATTCCAGACATTTTCAACCAGAATAGTGAGCTGAGACAGGCTTTCTGAGAGTCTTTTGATGTCTTAGCTCAATATCATACCGAATGGCTCTCATGAGGAATAAGGTCAGTTGGCTGCTTGCATATCTGGCCATTATTTCTCGGGACGATCATGTCATAATGATTCTGCTCTGTTGCTTTGACGTCAGTGGCAGACATATTGTCCCACAGGTCGCTGTGAAGTCCTTATGTGCACAGCCAGTACAGAAAGGACGATACTTAAGGATCCGCGAGGGCTTGAAGGCTTATCCAGATAGCCCATTATTCGCACCTATCTCCGTGGATTCCCTTAGAAGGGAGGCCGAACGGTGAACCTCTACCAGTAAAATTTGAGGTCCTACTCCGGAGGAGAAACCCGGTTACGGATTAAAGCCGTCTGGGACTAAACAGTAACAGTAACCAGGCCTCGTGGGAGAAAAGAAAATTGCAGTGTATAGGGGAAACCGAAAAAAATAGAGAGGTCCACGTGATCCCAATTCAGTATCTCTGGTCTCTTAAATAACCTGTTAAAGGATGAGGGGACCTTAGAAAAAGTTTTTTTCTCGTGCAAATCCTTTTATTACATTAATCGTATAAACCACTTTAGTGAAATCCGCAAAGTTGTATTTCATTCGCGCGCCGAGATATCCAGCCAAAACAATTTGAACCTGTGACGTCAATTATGTGAGTTGCTCTGATCCGCGCATATAGAAATACAGGTAAAATGAGCGTGCGGGCCGACTAAATTACTAGTTAAGAATAAATTAACAATTTACGATACTAACGAGCCTATAACCAATAGAGAGGAGACTTTTTATGACCGGTTGAAAAAAGAATTATCACCCTACGATAACCAAACCATGAGCCGAGATACACCTGGAATAAGATTGAAGTCACACAGAAAGGCATGTAAATTATGTATATTTATAGCTCCCAACGTAACACCTAGCAACTCCCTGTTTCGTACCACAGTTGATATATCAACATGTCATATCAACACAACACGGTCCTAATAAAAATGGATCGGGTAGGTATGAAATGCATGTCTTCATTCCAGTTGGACAAGCAACAAGCTTTTAAGTTCTAACTCACTATGTGACACAAGTTATAACGTAAGCAAGATTTGCAACTATTACACCAAGCAATATTATACCAAGCATAGCAGACGAACACATCCACATTCGTTACGCTTTACACTCAAGTCACAGCAAACTAAAACGGTAAATTATAAATGAGTGTACAACTAAAGGCCGGTACACACACAGTGTCAAACCGCACGTGCGTACTCAGATAGGACTAGAGGCGCCAAGGGCCAGCTAGTAAAATGTCTTCTACTACATCATACATTCTTTTTAATTGTGTCCATATCGGGTTTCAAACAAGTCAAAACAAAATAGCAGTTTGTGGTTTAGTTAGCGGATGCTACTTATCTTAGCTATTTATAAATAGAAATACCTACTACAACTACAAGAAAGCCTTTCTGAGTTACATTTAACTATAATTATTAAAGAGAATTATTCGTAACTTAGACTAATTCAGTGCAACCAAAGATACCGCTCTCGCAAAACGCCAAAGATAACACAACGTAATTAAAACAGAACAGAACAAAATGTTGACACGAGCAAAGGGTGCGCGCGCACGTTGGTCTTAACACATAAGTGACGTCACAGCCCAAAATTGCTATCAGCCAATAGGAGCGCGGCGTGATATTGCACGAATTATCGATTTAACAGTCCAGCGTATTTTTTGATTCTACACACTTTCACAGGACTTAAACGCGAATATTTGGAAGTAAATTCTAAGGTCCCCTCATCCTTTAAGCATCTTTACTTATCTAATTTAAGCCTTATTAGGGCCTTAAATGCACGGATTATGTAATAGTTTTGGTACCAAAACTTGCATTACCTTTAAGTATGAATAATATAAATTCACCGTGCAGCACGATTCAATTAAGCCAAACTGTACAGGGTGGGCCAAAAGTCAATACCCATTTGCTCAATACGCTAGGAACTTCAAATACACATTGCATTTCTGAGCGTATTTTCATCGTAGAATCGATTAAAATTGGTTTTGAAATGATTTTTGGGTCAAAAATTCACCTAAACATGTGTTTTTGCGCCGCTGCGGGCGCGCTTGTTTCACAAGTCAAAAAAATAAGGACTAAAATAAGTGCCAGGCTCAGGAAGAACATGGTTATTGTGTAGGTGGATAATTATTGACATATTGTACTAGCTGAAACTGATATAATTTATTGAATTGAGGACGAAGAAGTTACTTTAATTAGACTACATGGTCACAGGAAGCAGTACAAAATGCTATTGAAAACAATGCATATCTTGGCAATTCTAAAAATATGAGCTGCAATGACCGATGACAAAGGTGGTAGCTCAGTTTCAGATCTCACAAGCTCAGTTTCAGATCTCAGACCTGATTATCAACCAGCAAAACACCCTTGAACATTACAACATGTCAATTCAAAATGACACTATAAAAAGTCTCAAGGCAATCAAGGAGAAACACTTATTTACGGTTAGCAAATCAATAGAGGACAGTGTAAGAGATCCCAACCTAAAGAGATATCTCCAGTTGATCAAAGAGAAAGGTTCAGGATGTTGGCTTACTGCACTTCCATTGAAGAGATTTGGCTACTCCCTGAACAAGATTGAGTTCCGTGATGCTCTGTACTTGCGTTATGGTTGGGAGATCCCTAACACCCCATTTCACTGTGCTTGTGGAGAGAGAAATAATGTGAATCACACACTTATATGCAAGAAAGGTGGCTATGTTTCTATGAGACACAACAACATCCGTGATCTAAATGCAGAGCTGCAGCGTGAAGTATGCAGGGATGTAGGCACCTTTACCCCACTTATATACTCAACAAATGGCGGATGGGGTCCACAAGCCACAAGATACCACAAGAGACTCGCTGAAAAACTATCCCAGAAGAGAGGAGAAGACTATGCGGCTATTATGTGTTACATGCGCACCAGGATTAGATTCTCAATCCTCAGGAGCACCCTGATAGCGGTCAGGGGTGAGAGAGGGAGACGGCAATCGTATACATTGCCAGTCAGTGTAACTTCGTTTAACTTGATACCTGCCACCATGGACTATGAATGTTTCTAGACACTATCCTTTTGATATTGAGATATTGGTATCTCAGATCACGTGTACATCGTTCCTTTTTTTATGACACAGTAATTTATTGACACTCACAGCTATAATTTTAATCATTGAATCAGTATTTTTATCTGTGCTCTGCGTAATGGCGTAATGCATCACATGAATCAGTTTTTAATCTATTAACTTATTACACATTTGTGCTCTGCTTTAGCATCACTTGACTATTTTAAAAAAATTGTTTGTTCAGGCCATGACCTTATAGTCAGCCAATTGGCCATTGCTGAAATTGAATGTAATTTATTCATTTGATTCTTTATCGTTTCAGATATTTTGGAGTAAAGTATCCATAGTTTAAGACAAAAGAATTTAACACTGTTCTGACATTTATAGACTTTAAGAAGGCTTTCGACAGTGTACATCGTGGGAAAATGCTAAAGATTCTAGAAGCTTACGGCATTCCAGTCAAAATCGTGCAGCTTATACGGCTCATGTACGAGAAGACAAT